AATGGCCTGGGGTACTCACGTTTGGAATGGGGGATCGAAATTCATGGTATTTCAGTAAATGGGAGCCCCGTTTGGGCCCCATTTACTGTCAAATATGACACTGACAAGCGGGAAGTTTCGCACCTGTTCTGGAGATTTCTAGAACTATCTGGAATACCTGGAGAAAGCTATATAAGCGACGACGAGAACCAGACTGGGAAGGGAAGTGACAGGAGCGACCGATTGCAGAAGAAGGTTAAACCCGCGAGTCGGAAACGCGTGTTTACCTTGTGTTATTGTTATTGTTAGTGAAGTTGACGGTAACTTTGAAGTTAGTTTGTTCCTGTTCCGTAGTTAAAGTTGTACCGAGTGGAATAAAAGTTGGAAGCAGAAGAAAGAGTTTAATACTCGGCCATCCACGGTACAATATTATAAAATTCAGTATATCAGTTCAGTATCATAGCATATTTTTCTAATCTTAGGCCTCCAAGTTTGAGTGGACGAAACACACTCCAAGTGACTTGAAGAGGCCACTGTCCTCAGATTTGAAGGTAATACTTATTGCTTGTGATTAAGATGGACACTTATTTATCATACTCGTTTGTTATACTCCAGTGTAATACGAAAACCAAAAGAAGTGTGCGAAGGCCAAAATCGACGGTAACAACGTTAACTTCATCACACGTGGCAGAAAAGTACAGCCAGCTTTTGGACAAAAGGGACTTGTTATTAGACAAGCAGTTGGAAGTGGCTGACTTGCAGATAAGGCAAGAAAAAATTAAATGCGATCTTCTGGAAATAGAACTAGCCAATAAAAAAGAAAAATATTAAATATAAGGGTTTTTATTTAACCATTTATAACGAACATTTTTATCATAATTAAACACATTTTCTTAATTTAAATTTGAAAAGTAATTGTCAATTAACACTTGACGGTATTTCCGCATTCTAAAAAATAATGGAATTCATCCATACTTAAATTTTCCGGTGAAGGTGGATCAGCTTCCTTCATTTCCTGGGCTATGTTGTGTAACACAGCCGTCGCAACAATTACCGTTAACGAAGTTTCCAATTTACATGTTAGCCCGTATGCTAAAACTGGAAATCTTCGTTTCCAAACGCCAATAGTCCGTTCAACACAGTTCCTGGTTCTTATATGGCATTCATTATAAAGCCTTTGACTTTCGTTACCAGGATTTAAAAGTGGAGTTAACAAGTATGACTTTAAACCATACCCACTATTACCTGAAAGTTATCTTTTTACAATTGTGAAGTAATATTTAATTGTATAATATAATTTAGTGTAGTTGTCATATTTACGTGCATTATTACCAAATTCGCCAATTTATATTCTATCCTTCAATCTGCAGCTATTGAAAATTGTTGAATCGTGCGTTGAGCCTGGCCAATCAGCAACAATGTCCATAATTTTTAACGCGCTATTGCAAACAATTTGTGTGTATCGAAAAATAGGACTTTCGATTTCGAAAGACTTCTGCATCTTCACCTCCTAAAATAGAGCAATTTTATTATAAATATTTCTCAGTGATTGATATAAATTAATTCGTATTCCATAAGGTATTGGATATATTGTGTAATCTTATTTATACATATAAATTTACCTGGGGAACTTATTCTTATATGCGTTCCATCAATGCAACCAATAACTCTGGGAAAGCGAGCAATTTGGAATAAACCATTTTGAGTTCGATATATTTCATCATTCGAAGGCATTTTCACGTATCTTGGCCGTAAATCTGCAATTGCATTAGATACGTTCTTAATAACCTTAGAGGCAGTTGTTTGATGAATCCCCATGAAATCTGCGATGCAATTTTGGTGAGCATCACAAGCATAAAATCTAAGAGCCGTTAAAATTTGGTTGATGGTTGAGAAATTGTTATTTCCGTAAAAAACATGAATGGTATTCATTGATATCCAGATATTTATTATTTTACTTTTGCAGCTTACGTGCTACTGGGATATACTAGAAGGTGGCCAATTTCTTCTAGCAATCGAAAAACGACCGGTTTTGTTAAACCAAAGCGTCTATAAAAAGACATTTCGTCAAGTGCTATGGTCAAGTGCCTCGAAATAATTTGTCCGGAGTAATAGTCTCCTTGGAAAACCATAATCAAATATTTCTAAAACATCAATATCATCCTCTAATATAATTTCTTCTAACTCCATTTTCCAAGTAGTTAACACACGAACCGACTAGAATTTGCTAGGACAAACACAAAATCTCGTCTTTATCTAAAACAAAACCCTCAATTTGAAAGGTTTTGTTATGTATTTAAACTAGTTTAAGAATTTAATCGTCGGACGTGGTGGATTAAAGTTAAACGCGTTTAAGGTCAAAACAGTCGACCGTGCATACCGTTTACGATTTTTAAACCGATTTAAGGCTTAATCGCGATTAAAGTCTGTCGGTGCATACGGGATAAATAGTCTAAATGTTGATTTGAAAAAGAAGTCTGAAGAACTGAAACAAGCCATTTACAGTACTACCCAACAATTGAATGTGAAGAAAGCATTGGTGTGTGAGTATCAGCATGAAATTGGCACAACTCGAAGCGATATCGCAGATGTGGAGCAGGAAAGAACGATCCTGGCTTTGCATAAAGAAAACAACCGGTTAAGGGAATCATGGGAAACTGATTTGCAACAAAAGGAATGCGCATTAAAATTCGCGGGTGAATCCTCAATTGATGAACTGGCCGTGATGGAGACCGCATGGAAGAACTGCAATTGCAACTGGCTGAAGGGCCACCAAAGTCCACTTTTCCCAGGTCACCCTGCAGGAGAAGAGAAGCGAAATCTTTGAACTTGAAAAAAAAATGTCTGTGCAATTCAAGGAAGTATGTAATCTAGCTGTAGATCTAGCCTCTGCCAAAAATGAAATGAGACTGTTAAACTTCAGAGCTTTAGAGTTGGCGCAACAAATTGAAGAAGCCAAGAAATAGGCGCTTTTATCCGCGGAATCTAATAAATGTCGTAGATATACTATGTTTCAAGTCAGAGACTAAGTTTAGATTAGGAATATGTATATTAAATTGCAATAGTTATTTTTT